ATCAATCAATCCTTTAGTAAATAATAAAAAAAAAAAAAGCTGTGAAGAAAGAAACAGCATTTTATTATGTATGACAAAGATTCTAAAACAGTAACAACGGTATTAAAAGGACAGGGTGCTGGACAACAGCATAAAGCCAACAGAATTTGCCTAAAGGGAAAAATGCAGGTGCCATTATCTTAATAAAAAAAAAATAGTGCTTGGTATCATTCTCCAATCATATATATTCATGATACCAAGCACTTTTTTTGTTGTTAATTTTTTCAAAATTAACAAAACTGGGGGCTGGGAAGGTGGCTCAGTGGTAGAGCGCTTGCCTTGCACGCATGAGGACCTGGGTTCAATTCCTCAGCACCACATAAGCAATAAGGAAAAAAAAAGCCAGAAGTGGCACTGTGGCTCAAGTGGTAGAGCACTAGCCTTGAGCTGAAGAACTGAGGGACAGCACCCAGGCCAAAAGTTCAGGCTCCACAACCGGACCCCCCCCCCCCCCAAAAAAAAAAAAAAATTAACAAAACTGAACCAGGCACCATCAACTCATCTGTATTACTAGATACTAAGGTGATGGAGAGCTAGCCAGGGCACAAAAATCCAGGAGACTCCAATTGCCAATTCACCAGCAAAAAGACAAAAGTGAAAGCATGACTCAAATGGTAGAGCACCAGCATAGAGCAAATCTAAGAAAAGCATGCAAGGGCCAGGTGCTGGTGGCTCTTGCCAGTAGCCCGCTCCTCAGGGGGCTGAGATCTGAGGATCATGGTTCAAAGCTAGCCCAGGAAGAAAAGTTCTGAAAGACTCTTTAATCACAAAAAGCCAGAAGTAGAGCTGAGGCTCAAGTGGTAGAGTCCTAGCCATGAGCAAAATAGCTCAGGGACAGTACCCTGGGCCCTGAGTTCAAGCTCCAGTACAAAAAAAAAAAAAAAAAAAAAACCTGAGGTCAATATAAACACCAAGAAAAATACTGTTTACAATATTCAAAATATGGAAACAACCCAGATGCCCCACCACAGATGAATGGGTCAAAAAACTGTGGTACCTATATACAATGGATTATTACACAGCCATTAGAAAGGATATTTCAAAATAATGACAGTCCTAGGGAAATGGATGAAACTAGAACAAATCATGTTGAGCAAGATAAGCCAAGATATGCAGATATTAGATTCAAAAGAAATAAAAGGACCTGTTCTTAATTTGTCATGGAGTTTCTAGATGAATCTATGATCTGGACCCCATATATGGTATGTACACGTGCACACCTGACAGAAGCTAAGAGGAGGGTATAGAATTAGAGGAAAACAGGTGAAAAAATGTAGCAGAGGGCCACAGTGATGAAAGTGAAGTAAGCAACTCAAGGGCAGCGATGGGAGGGAGGAAATGAAAGAGAAAGAGGGAAAAGATGACACTAAGCAAAAGGAAAGAAATGTATAAATCACCCAATTTGAAAGAAATAGTTTACTGTTAAAGTTTGTAGAGTTCATGGGGCTGGGAAGGTGGCGCTTGCCTTGCATGTATGAGGCCCTAGGTTCGATTCCTCAGCACCACATAAGCAGAAAAAAAAAAAAAAAAAAAAAAGCCAGAAGTGGCGCTGTGACTCAAGTAGTAGAGTGCTAGCCTTGAGCTCAAGAGCTGAGGGACAGCGCCCAGGCCCAGAATTCAAGCCCCGCAACCGGCAAAATAAATAAATAAATAAAAAGATGGAAGTGAAGATCACCATGTTGAGCACAATAAGCCAAGCTCTAAGAGCCAAATACCCTAAAATGATTCCCCTTCACAGCACCAGCGTCTATCGGTTCCTTGGTTAATCTGTTTCTGCAAAGTACCAGTTTGTGGGCCCATGAGACTTTCTAGGCTTTTTTTTCTTTCTTGCAGCCTTACTGGAGGAATATTCCTTCCCTACCGTATGTACTTAAAACTCTTTGCACATTTTTTGTTTCTTTTATAAATCTGAAGTTCAGTATTCCTCTGGTTCTACTGTTTACTGTTCTCTTGACTTGCCTTGCATACTACCCTGATATAGGTATGCAAGCTGATGGTGTTTTTTTTTAGTTTCATGGAGAAACTGAAAGGTACTGTGCCATCTTTTCCAACTTCAACTGAATTCTCTTGAGGAAAGTACTAATAATATATCTTACGATATGCTTACTTTTAGAGTCATGTACATATGTTCACTTTGTGTTGACGCTATATCCAGGGATTGACTGCACACTAGCTAGTCACAGTAACATTCCATCAGCAGTGTACTGTCTATCCCTACTTTCATGGCATAATGGATCATCTTCATAGTATTTCCACATATCAACAGGTTTTTCTCAGACATAGATAAGGAGATATTTTGCTGTACTGCAAAAATGTGTATATAGCAGGACACCGGTGGCCCACACCTATAATCCTAGCTACACAGGAGGCTGAGATCTGAACAGAGGTTCAAAGCCAGCCTAGGAAGGAAGTCCATGAGACTCTAATCTCCAATAAATCACTCAGAAAACTGGAAGTGGTGCTGTGGCTCAAGCGGTAGAGCACTAGCCTTGAGCTGAAGAGCTAAGGGACAGCACCCAAGCCCAGAGTTTATGGTGACAACCAACAACAACAACAACAAAACCAGACTCTATTGGGGAGTTAAATACGAGTGTGAGAGAGGAGAGCAAACAGAAAAGATGAATAAAGATAGATATGGTTAAAGTAGTTTATCTGTACACATAAAAGTAAGAATAATAAATCTGTTGACACTGCTTTAGAAGGGAGAGTGATAGGAGTGAGTTTAATCGGGTCATACTGTATGAGAGAATAAGTGTCACAATCAACTTCCTAATGTGGAACTTACGTATGCTAATAAAAGAAAATATAGCCGGGCGCTGGTGGCTCACGCCTGTAATCCTAGCTACTCAGGAGGCTGAGATCTGAGGATCACAGTTCACAGCCAGCCCGGGCAGGAGAGACCGTGAGACTCCTATCTCCAATAAACCACCAGAAAACCGGAAGTGGCGCTGTAGCTCAAGTGGTAGAGCACTCGCCTTGAGCTGAAGAGCTGAGGGACAGCGCCCAGGCCCAGAGTTCAAGCCCCACGACCGACAAAAAAAAAAAAAAAAGAAAATATAACATGGCACCTGTGGGGCTCAGACCTGTAATCTTAGCTACTTAGGAGGCTGAGCTCTGAGGATTCAGGTTAGAAGTCAGCCCAGGTAGAAAAAGTCTATGAAACTCAAAAATACAGAAGTAGAGTTGTGGATCACTCAAGTGGTAAAGTGCTAGCTTTGAGCAACAAAAGCTCAGGGACACCACCCAGGCCCTGAGTTCAAGTCCCAGGAACAGCATCAAAATGCATACATACATATATACATACATACATACATATATAATGACCCTACAAGATATCATGTTTTGTGAATAAAAACAGAACAAGTCTGAGCCAGGTGCTGATACGGTTCATATCTATAATCTTAAGACACTTTGAAAGCTGAACAGTCTGTGAGAACCCTTCTCAAACCATACCTGGGTACAGTGTCTGGTGCCAGTTGTCCCAAGCTACATGGGGAGGCTGAAATTGGGAAGATCATGGTGCCAAGCCAGCCAGCCCAAGCAGAAAAGTCCATGAGTTTCCATCTTGTGGAAAGAAAGCTAGAGACAGTAGCTCACACTTATGATCACAAGCAATAATATAAAGCCTAAAAGGCAGCAGATCTCAGCTCAAGGGCATGATGGGAAGGAAGTGAAACCTTATCCTAAAAAATAATCAGTGGAGACATAGCTCAAGGTGTAGCTCAGCAGCATCTTAACGGAACTAGTGTGACTTCCAAGAACCTATGATCAAAACTAGTTGTATAAAAGATGCCAACACCATGTTGAAAACGAACCTTACAACTTGGGGGGAGGGGAAAGAGGTGGGGAGGGAAGGGATGGTAGGGGAAAAACAAAGGAGGAGGTAACAGTGCTCAACAGGAAATGTACTCATTACCTTGCTCATGTAACTGTAACCCCTCTGTACAGTATTTTTACAATAAAAAAAAAAAAAAGAAAGAAAGATGCAGGGCGCTGGTGGCTCATGCCTGTAATCCTAGTTACTCAGGAGGCTGAGATCTTAGGCTTGAAGTTCAAAACCAGCCTGGGCAGGAAAGTCTATGAAACTCTTATCTCCAATTAATCACCAGAAAACCGGGAGTGGTGCTGTGGCTCAAGTGGTAGAGTGATAGCCTTGAGCTGAAGAGCTGAGAGACTGTGCCCAGGCCCAGTTCAAGCCCCACAACCAACAAAAAAAAAAGTTATAATTCTTCACTTAAAGCAACACTGCAGCCAGGTATAACAGCATATACCTGTAAAACCAGCACTAAGGAGGTGGAAGCAGGATGATCATGTTCAAAGCTATATAGTAAAACCCTGTCTCAAAATTAAGATAAAATGAAGTGGTATTCCAAAAAAGCTTCATTTTTCCACTGTTAGTAGAATCTGATTTTAAGAATCAGAAAAGTTTAACTTTGCCCAGAACATATTGAATGAATGGGAAGAGAACAAAATCTGCCACTTTCTAGCCTAGTAGTTCTCTCTCTCTCTCTCTCTCTCTCTCTCTCTCTCTCTCACACACACACACACACACACACACAAATGGATAACAGAAGAACTGTAGTTATTTCAAGATGAGTACCCACATTTTCCTCTAGTGGTAAAAATAAATGCACTTGGTGAAAATTCATGTGGACAAGTACTTCTAAAAAACGTTTTTCTGCATAGATGTTCAATCTTCCACAGTCTCCCAGAAAAAATATTTGCTTTCTGAGTAAGTCAGAAGAGATAGTTCCTTAAGATTCCAGAAGCATTTTCTCATCTCTACCTACAGGTAAATGGCTTCAGATACAAAAGCAAAACGTAGGCCACTCAAATGCAAAAAGGAAGAAGATTTGGGAGAACTCAACATAATCTTTAGGGCCTAAGTAGTAGCTTCCTGATTTCATTCATCAGAGGTAGAATAATAATACTTTGATCTGAGATCTAGAGCAGGCACATACCTGCTCTTCTTCTGTAAAGGGTACTAGAGCCAATGGTGGCAGGGGCTCCTCCTGCAGGATAGGTAGAAATTCTTTATCCAGAAGATCTGAAGGTATCTGTACAACAAACACACGGCCCTAAGATTAATACTATTACTCCAATTACAAAAAGAAAAAACCAAGGAAAAAATACTTGCTCATATATTACTAATTAGTATAAATGTTAATCTAAGCTTTTCTAACTACAATTAACTTGTGATTATCTGGTAGTTACATATATGAAAACAGGCAAATGTTAAAAACTAAGGTCATCCTCCTCCTCCTCCTCCCATTGGTCCACCACTTTGGATTCAGCATTAACTCTGATATTCCAGAAAACACAGTGGAGGAGTAAGAGTTTCCACATTTAACTCAAAGCAGATGGTAAGGAGTTTCATAAGCAATTATCTATCCTTAGCAACCATCACTAAAACTCAAGATCCTCTGTTAATAAATTAATAACAAAGTATATTGAGAAAAACAGAAAATGTCTCCCTAGTCAGATACGTCTACCTTGTATTTTCCAGTTGGATTTTTTTTTTTTTTTTTTGGTCAGTCACAGGGCTTGAATTCTGGGCCTGAACGCTGTCCCTCAGCATTTCAGCTCAAGGCCAATGCTCTACCACTTGACCACAGCGCCACTTCCAGTTTTCTGGTGGTTAACTGGAGATAAGAGTCTCACAGACTTTCCAGCCTGGGCTGGCTTTGAACCACGATCCTCAGATATCAGCCTCCTAAGTAGCTAGGATTACAGGTGTGAGTTTGATCATTTGTAAGTGAAACAAATATGTTATTTAAGATTTCTAACAAAAATTTCATATTTAACTTAAAAAGAGAAAAGGGTAAGAAAGTTACTCTCATTCTTTCCTTCTGAGTAGAATAAAGGGTGCAATAAAGAGAACAGAAGCCAGGAACTGGTGGCTCATACCTGTAATCCTAGCTACGGCTGAGATCTGAGGACCATAGTTTGAAGCGAGCCCTGGGCAGAAAAGTCTGCAAGACTCTATAGTCTCCAATTAACTGGTAAAAAGTCAACAGTAGGCCTATGGCTTAAGTGGTAGAGCACTAACCTTGAGCAAAAAAGCTCAGGGACAGTGCCCAGACCTTAAGTACAAAAGAAGAAGAAAAAAAGAAATTCTTCATTTGTCAGCTATCAAACTGGGACAGAGAGATCAGAAGAAGGGCAGGATGAAATGAAGTGATGACCGTCCTGTTGCCAGGAAGCCACCTGCTTCTATAATGACATCATCAGTTTTCTTTAAGGAGAAGGCATTACACTTACACTCACTGTTAACTACAGTTATGCTTCAGTACAGGAAAAAGGTAGAGGAAAAGAAAACATGAAATCAACATATAGACAAAAGATACATTTGAGATATATAGTCATTTTATTAATATATCATTGTAAATATCACCCTAAAGTCTCAGCCAAAATTCTGACTTCTTTTCCTATTTTTTTACCTTGTTGTCTTTAAGGAAAAGTGCTAACATTTCTTCTCTGCCATAGCGATAATCAGCTAATTTATACTTCGGCAGTGCTGGAGAAAGAGGAGGGGATGTGATACTCCCACCACTGGACAGAGCTCGGAGCCTAGAATAGGAAAGAAAACAATATAAAGCAGCAGATATTGTAGCACTATGAATTTCTCATATACTGTAAGAAAAATTTGTTTTAGTTCTTGAGAAAAATTAGGAAGAGCCCCATTATCTTAAGGGAGTAAAGATTTTTCCTCTAATAGCACACTATATGACACGTTCACTGCATGGTACACAACCATGTGACAATCTCACCACTTAATGTATCATAGTATATCCCTGAAGGCTTGGAAGTTAGGGAAGGGATGTTTTTTGTATCAAATTATAGAAAAGTGCACCAGGTACCAGTGGCTTATGCCTATAATCCTAGCTACTCAGGAGGCTGAGATCTGAGGATCGCAGTTCAAAGCCAGCCCAGGCAGTAAAGTCTATTAAAACTCCTATCTCCAATTAATCACAGAAAAATCTGGAAGTGGTGCTGTGGCTCAAGTGGTAAAGTGCGAGCCTTGAGCAAAAAGAGCTCAGGGACATTCCTCTGGCTTTGTAGTAGTGCTTGCCTAGCATGCATGAAGCCCTGGGTACCATTCCTCAGTACCATATAAACAGAAAAAGCCAGAAGTGGCACTGTGGGTCAAGTGGTAGAATGCTAGCCTTGAGCAAAAGCTGCTCTGGGACAGCACTCAGGCCCTGAGTTCAAGCACCAACACTGGCAAGAATAAAAAAAAGTGAGGTGCCACTTTTTACCTATGAGACTAATAAAAAGTATTAACAATACTGCTCATCAGTAAGGATGTAAAACAATGAAAACTCTAATGTAGTATTTATGTTATAAATGGGCTCACTTACTTCAAAAAATAATTTGGTAGTTACATAAAAGCTATTTGGCTATTTGGTATTATATATCACATAAAATAAGCAAAATTTAAAAGCTTATAGCATAGATAACAAAATGTATAAATCACAAATAGGTTTGAATTCTTTATAAACATACAAAAGATGGTAAAAGCAGAATGAATCATGGAATAATAAATACATCATTAAAGGATAGGGTTATATCATCCCCAAGAGGAAGTATGAAAAGAACTTTAATTGTACCTATAATACTTTTTTCAGCTTGGTAATGACTATGCAGGTGTTATATAATTTTGTTTGTATTATTTCATAATCTATTTTAATAAAAAATCAATAATCAGTGTAAAGAATTAAAGTCAATAAAGTATGGGACAAAAATAATCATTTATTACTCAGAAGAAAAAACTTTAAATGTACTCCAAGCTAACAAGACGCATTCAAGAACAGAAATGGGGGTAAAGGGACTATTCTCTGTGTATGCCAGTCCTGGGACTTGGAACTCAGGTCCTAGGCACTGTCCTGAGCTTTTCTGACTCTACTTGAACCTTAATAGCTCCATTGCCAGATTTTTTGGTGGTTAATTAGAGATAAATCTCAGGGACTTTACTGCCCAGACTGACTTCAAATCACAATGCTTAGATCTCAGAATCCTAAGTAGCTTGGATTACAGGTGTGAGCCACCAGCACCTGTCTGGTTCCAGTCTTGGGGCTGAATTCAAGACTTGGGCACTGGGGCTAGGAAGGTGGCTCAGTGGTAGAGCCCTTGCCTTGCATGCCTGAGGCCCTGGGTTCGATTCCTCAGCGCCACATAAGCAAAAACAAGAAAGCCGGAAGTGGTGCTGTGGCTCAAGTGGTAGAGTGCTAGCCTTGAGCTGTAAGAGCTGAGGGACAGCGCCCAGGCCCAGAGTTCAGGCCCCACAACTGAACCCAAAAAAAAAAAAAAAAAGACTTGGGCACTGGCTCTTAGATTTTTGCTAAAGGCCAGTGTTCTACCACTTAAGTCACAACTCCACTTCCAGCTTTTTGGTAGTTAACTGGAGATAATCTCATGGACTTTTCTGCCTGGCTTCAAACCATGATCCTCACATCTCAGCCTCCTGCCTCGACTGGCTTCAAACCATGATCCTCACATCTCAGCCTCCTGAGTAGCTAGGATTAAAGTGTGAGTCACAGTGCCTGGGCTCCTTTAATTTTATGCGTATCTGGCAGAAACAAAGATCGGGGCTCCAACTCCATTATTACCAACAAAAAGAGGGGGGGGGTATTTTTAAAAGAAAAAAGCAGAAAAAAAAAAAAGAGTTAAGAAGCCTACTTGCAGGACTATACCAAAGAACTAATACTAGAAAAACTAATACTGAGATTAGCTAATAGTGTAGGGCTGCTGGAATTTCTTTAATACCAAGGCTAACAGAGACCACTGAACCTTAATTCAGTTGTACTCAGCTTAATTCTGATGCACTGAATTTCCCCATAAGCCTAGGGAATTTTCTAGGGAAAATTCAATAAAAGCACTAAAATATATATCCCAAACTGCTATGGTTTTACTCATAAAAACAAGAAGATAGGAATGATGTATTAAATGGTTACACACAAAAAAGCTGGTATGGGCAGGCACAATGGTTGGTGCTTATATGATTGCTTCTCAGGAGGCAAAGATCTGAGAATCAAGGTCTGAAGCCCACGTTGGCAGACAATAGGAAAAACTTACCTTCAATTAACTAGCAAAATGATGGACTGGTAGTGTAGCTCAAGTGGTAGCATACTAGTTGTGAGTAAAAAAGCCAAACAAGAGCTTGAAGCCCTAAGTTCAAGTCCCAACACAAAATAAAAATGTAATAGGGAGGCAGCTAAAGCACAGTAAATATCTGCAGATTATTATAAAAAATGGTAAGTGACTAATATAATAATGTGTAAGAATATATGTAAGTAGCCAGATGCCGGTGGCTCATGTCTATAATCCTACCTACTCAGGATGCTGAGATCTGAGGATCTCGGTTCAAAGCCACCCAGGCAGGAAAGTTCGTGAAACTCTTATCTCCAATAAACCATTCAGAAAAACGGAAGTGGCACTGTGGCTCAAATGGAAGAGCATTTCCTTGAGCTGAAGAGCTGAGGGACAGTGCCTAGGCTGAGTTCAGGCCCCACAACCAACAACAACAACAACAACAAAAATACATAAGTGAGGCTATAGATTTTTCCAATTTATCTTCTAGATCTGCAATTTTAGCATATCATAAACAATTATATTTATTACATATCTAAAAAGAACATTAAGAAACTCATATACAGATCATTCAGCCCCCAAATCAGCAATCTGTGGCAATGTAGCTCTTTTTGGCGCCCCAGCTAACCCTCTCTTGATACTATTTTGAAGGAAATTTTTGGCTTAATATTACACCAGTACATAATATTATCACTAACATGGACATTTTTAGAAGTCTGGATTTGCTGGTTTTATCATAGTGTAACTAAAATGTTTCTACAGCCTCTGCATTTCATGCAAATTGGCAACTGGGTATGGATTCTTGATGAGATGTGGGTTAAGAATACTTCCCGGATAGTGGTGTATTATTCCATCAAAGGCACAGAGTGCTTGGCTGTTCTGTGATATCACTAGCTACTGATGATCAATGCTTGGATCCCTAAGTTCACTAAAGTGGTTGTAAAGTGTTTCTATTCTATCATTCTTTTTTTATTTGCTGGAACATTTCTGCAAAGAGAAACTTACCTCTTAAAATATTTGGTACAGTTACCCAGTGATACAGTTTATACAGGAAAGGAAGGAAAATAGCTTGTTATTTGTTTTCAAAATAGTAGCTTGGCTCACTAGCATCCTTTAATAGTACAATTTGTTATTAATGTATTCCAGTCCACTGCAATTATTCCTAACAATCTTGAAATTGTCTCATCTTTGACTAGAGGAAGACTGGACTGGCTCCTGGTCCTTTTGACATGATCCTAGTTGTCTTAGGCATCATCTTTACTTTGGTATGCCAAACTGTTCCAGGTTATCTTATTTCTTGCCTCATATCTGGAATCCACCATTTTTCTAAGGAGCCCTGATTCTCTCTAGTATACACAAAGATCACATTATGAGTGCTAGAAGTGCTCATTACTACCGGGTTGATCATTTCAAATGACTCCTAAGTTTACACATTAAAACAATTTCAACAACCAGAAAACAAAATAATAGGTTGAGCTATCCAACCACTGCTGAAGAATCTTCCGGGAAACTGCTTCCCATCAATCCTGTAAAGTTAGGCTCTTTTCTGAAAAAGTGGAATTGACATCTCCTAAGAACTTAAGCTGGGAATATTACACACATTAGCTCGATTCATCTCACTTAAGTTTCATAAAAACTCCAATATAACAGATATGAAAAGTGAAGTTTCAAGGGCTGGAAAGGTAGCTTAGTGGTTCAATCTCCTGGTATCAATCTCCAAATCACAGATCTATGTGTGAGCACACACACACACACACACACACACACACACATGAAAGAAAGGAAAGGGGAAGAGAAAAGGAAAGGAGAAAGAAAAGCAAAGAGAAAAAGCAGAAGCTGAGGGGTTAATAAACAACTTGCCTAGTCATGCCCCAAAAACTAAGATTCAAATCTGGGTTTTTATGACTAAAAGAACTGACCATTCCAACAACAAGGTCTCAACACTACTATATTTAGAAGAGCCACAGACTGTCAAACATTAACTTGAAAATGTTCCTATATTTTTATTAGAAATTATTATAAAGTATCTTCTTTATGCTCAGCCAATATGCTTCTCCATAGTTTCTACTACTGAAGGGCCTAGCTCAGTCCTCTCTCAGATGAAAATCATTCTAGTCTTGGCAAACAGCTATTATATCTTTACAGAAACTCCTTTCCATGACATAGCATCATCATTTTCTGGAACTACTCCTCACATTAAGGTTTTAAACTGGCCCCAGACTCCCAATGGCTAACCAATATTCAGGACTGAACACTTTCTACAAGCACCAGATCTACTGAGTAACATGATCTGAGATTTCTCCTACTTCTATGAAGAAACTGAGCCAATTAAGAAGAGGACTGCCTGTGTTAGAATGATGGGTGTGCTGACTCAACAGGCAACAAATTCTACTCAAAGACCCTCACCCTACAGATACTTAGGAAAGCTGAAAGCCCATCAGTGATCTTTACCTCCTCCATACAACCTTCTCTTCTAAACA